GTTTGTATTTTTAAAGAAAACGAAATTTTGAAATGTATTTTTTAAAATTATTTTTATAAAATTTTGTAACATTTAACTGCTGAGTGTATAAAAATTTATAAATTATTAAAATGCACCAAAATTGTGGATTTCAAATCTTGGCGTATTTTTTGGGAAGAAAAATATATTTTTTTTAAATTTTTTCCATCTACGTTTCTTCGGTGTGGGCTCCCCCCGGGGCGCAGTATTTCTCCCCCTTTTCGCGATTTTTGGTGTTCTTTCCTCGTTGGGTCAGTCGGGATCAAAAAAAAAAGGTCGTTGCGCTGTGCTTATAGAAATGTCCGCTGGAAAAAAAAGACCACCAGCTGAAAAAAGCCCCAGGGGGGTCCGCAAGGGGGGCGGTTGACAACTCAGGGGGCCCCCGGGAAAGGGGGAATCATGGGGCCCCTGTGCCTTCCCCCAAACTCAAAAAAGCCTATGAAAAAGGTCCGGGGGCATCTCATGGGGCCCCCTACGCCCCAGGCCCCGGGCATTGCTCGATTTTCCAAATGGTCGCCCCGCCCCTGTCCGAATCTGCCTTTTTTTACCACCCTGTGAGGCCCCAGGCCCACCTCCCTCCTTGCCCTTGCGGCCGCGTAAGTATATCAAAACGCCCTTTCGGCAAGGGGGGTCCAGGCAGCGCAGCCGTGATCTGGGGAGGGGCCTTTTAAGCCGTTGGTCAGGGTTTTCGTAAAAGTGATCAGGGGCTTTACACCCACCCAATCACATTCACAATGCGGGGATTTTCCCCCCCTTTCCCTGCCTTTCTTTTTCCCCTCCGGGAACCGGGACACGGTAAGCAGTGGGAGGGCTTCCCACCCAGATTTTTTTGGTTTTCAGTTTTGTGCCAAATCTAAATATCTGGAGGGGGCCGGATTGAAAAACATTTCAAGGGGGTTTTTTTTGGCCTTTGTTGAGGGTGCAAAAGGTCCTTTGAACAGAACCAAAAGTAATACTTTCAAACTTATTAATGGAGCTCTACTGGCGCAGATAAAAATAGAAAAATAGACCCTCTTAGCCGGATTTTTTTCCTCACAGAAAAGAAAAAAAATCCACAAGCCATAACAAAAAAAAATAACCATCTCACAACATTAATAAACCGTCAGTGCACACATAAAAATTCAACCCATTCCAAGCCCTCCCCTCCATAGACAAGCCAAAAAACTATAAGCCTGAGGTGAACAAAAAAAAAAAAACCACAAAAAAAAAATAAATTAAACAATTAAAAGAGAAAAGTGTAAAAAAAACAGTTAAAAATACTTAAATGCAATCAAAAAACAGAAAAAAAAGAAAAAAAAAATCACAAAAATTACACAACAAAATAGACAAAAAAACAAAAAAAAGAAAAACAGAATAAAAGATTTAAAACAAAACAATACAAACCAGACTAAATAGAGACCCAAAAAAAAAAAGCACTAAAAAAATGAAAAAATCTTAAAAAGGAAGCATAAAAACAGTAAAAAGACATAAAATGCAAGCCAAAAAGAAAAGAGAAAAAAAAAAATCACAAAATAGACTAAAATTAAAAAAAACAAAGAAATAAAAAATGTAAAACAAAACAACACACACAAAACACACTAAAAAAAACCCCAAAAAAAAACAAAGGAATAAACACAAAAAAATTAAAACATTCACACAAAAAAAACAACACAAAAAAAAAAAAAACAAACAAAAAAATGTAAAAATGAAACAAAGAATACATAAAAACAAATAAAAAACTACATAAAAAAAAAAACCAAAAAGATCAAAAAACAGAAATCAAAAAATGACAAAAAAAAAAAAAAAAAAAAACAGAAAAAAAAATTAAACAAAAAAAAAAAAAAGACCAAAAACACAAAAAAAAAAAAAAAAAAAAAACAAAGGAAACACAAAAAAAAATTTAAAACATTAAAAATGAAAAAAGAGAAGTATAAAAACAGTAAAAATACATAAATGCACACAAAAAAAAAAAAGGGGAAAAAAAAAAAAAAAAAACAAAAATACACACAAAATAGTAAAAAAAAAAAAAAAAAAAAAAAAAAAAAAAATTGAAAAAAACAAAAAACACACACACACATACTCTCTATAAGCCATCAGTGCAAAAAAAAAAATGAAAAACAATGCAATAACAAAAAAAAAATGAAACAAGAAACGCAAAAAAAACTGTAAAATACATACATAAATGCACAAAAAAAAAAAAAACATAAAATACATACAATAATAAAAGATGAAAAAAGACACGCAAAAGAGAGAAAAAAATAAATACAAAGAATAAAAATGAAAAAAAAAATTAATAAAACAAAACACAAAGTGCAAAGAAAATAATTACAGTTAGAAAAAGCAACAATAAACAAATCTCCAAAAAAAAAAAATGCAAAAATATAAATACACACACAAAAATACAAAGAACATTAAAAATGAAAAATAAAACAAACAATACACAAAAATAAATGCACACACAAAAAAAAAAGAACAAAAATACAACAATGAAAATAGAAAAATAAAAATATAAAGAGAAATGTAAAAAAAAAAAAAAAAAAAACACAAAAACACAAAAACTAAATTAAACTTCACCCTAAAAAAAGAAAAAAAAAAATCCTACACAACTACATTGTTTTTACTCAACCACACTTCACTCAAGTGTCTCAGTCCAGTGATATTGAGAGTCTCCAAATTTAGCTGCCAATAAAACTGATACGTTTGCACCCTAAATTCATTTCTGTCTCATCCCTCCTAGTGGTTTGATTAAATAGTTTTTATTAAATATATTTATTTAGAATATTTATTTAATAACAAATTAAATAATATGATTAATATTTTATGAAATGCAGTTATATATTTTTTTATTACTATTATTTTTAAAAAATAATTTCTTCTTTTATTTATTTTTTTTTAAAAAAAAATATTATATTTATAAATAATTTTTTTTAAATGTATTAAATTTAAAATTAATATAAATAATATAAATAATTAACAAATTTAATTTTATTTATAAATTAAATAAAAAATAAAAATGATATTTTATGAAATGTCGTTTTTTTTTCTTTATTACTATTCTTTTTAATAATTTTTTAATATTTTAGTTTCTTGAAAAAATATAAATATATATTTATGTAAATATGAAATAAGAAATGTATTAAATGTATTTATATAATTAATAACAAAATAATAATAAATGAATATTTTATGAAATGTCGTTTTTTTATATTACTATTATTTTTAATAACAATTTACTATTAATATTATTTTATTAAAAAAAAAAAAAGGGAAGGGGAAGGAAAAACAATTCCTGGTGCAAGGAGTTGCTCACCATGCCCACCCCCTGCTTGCTGGGCACAGAATATTTCTCCATGATGGCGGGTGAGTCTCAGCAGGGACAGCTTCTGCAGAAGTTGAGCTGAGCGGCGGACTGCCTGTTGATCTCCAGAGATGCAGAGCTGAGGCTCGGCCGATGCGAGTTCTGGAAGCTGTGCCACCGCAACTTCCTGTCGGAGAGAGACTTACGGCCTTTTTTTTAATGACTGAACTGCAGGAAGATTTTTTTATTTTCAGAAACAAATTTTTGACGATTTTTTTTATTTTTTTTTTATTTTTTTATTTTTTTTTTTATGTTATTTTTTTTTTTTTTTTTAAAAGCACAAGCAATGCAAGCGCTTGAATTTGACCCAATCCCATTCTCCTGCAGCCTGTGTACAGCAGAGCTCAGACTGGGGGAGGGAGAAGCAGCACAAGGTGGCAATCAGTTGTGCCACAGTGCTCAAACACCAAGGGACATGCTGATAGGAGGAGAGAGCAGAGAGATGAGCTCATCAGTCTGCTGCTCCTCTTTCACTGCCCTATTGGGCCCCTCCCACAGCTCTCTGCTCTCTCTCTCCTTGTGCAGGGTGACTGGTCTTGTCTTTTGATCTAACCTCATTGCCCAGATTTTTCTGTCCATACACACACTATATTGCCCATAAGTATTGTCCCCGCCCTCCCAATCATGTGATTCAGGTCATAGTGATTCAGGTGTTCAATCCCCTCCTAATCATGTGATGCAGGTGTTCCAATCCCCTCCATATCATGTGATTCAGGTGTTCCAATCCCCTCCATATCATGTGATGCAGGTGTTCCAATCCCCTCCATATCATGTGATGCAGGTGTTCCAATCCCCTCCATATCATGTGATGCAGGTGTTCCAATCCCCTCCCAATCATGTGATGCAGGTGTTCCAATCCCTCCATATCATGTGATTCAGGTGTTCCAATCCCCTCCCAATCATGTGATTCAGGTGTTCCAATCCCCTCCAATCATGTGATTCAGGTGTTCCAATCCCCTCCATATCATGTGATTCAGGTGTTCCAATCCCCTCCATATCATGTGATTCAGGTGTTCCAATCCCCTCCATATCATGTGATTCAGGTGTTCCAATCCCTCCATATCATGTGATTCAGGTGTTGTTCCAATCCCCTCCATATCATGTGATTCAGGTGTTCCAATCCCCTCCATATCATGTGATTCAGGTGTTCCAATCCCCTCCATATCATGTGATTCAGGTGTTTCCAATCCCCTCCATGGACACAGGTGTATACAATCATCCCCTAGGCATGCAGACGGCTTCTACAAACATTGGTGAAAGAATGGGCCGCTCTCAGGAGCTCAGTGACTCCAAGCGTGGTCCCGTGATAGGTGGCCACCTGGGCAATAAGTCCATCCGTGACATTTCCTGGCTACTAAATATTCCACGCTCAACTGTTAGTGGGATTATAACAAAGTGGAAGCAACTGGGAACAACAGCCACTCAGCCACCAAGTGGTAGGCCACGTCACATGACAGAGCGGGGTCAGCGCATGCTGAAGCGCACAGTGCGCAGAAAGTCACCAACTGTCTGCAGAGTCAATAGCTAAAGACCTCCAAACTTGGTGTGGCCTTCAGATGAGCCCAACAACAGTGCGTAGAGAGCTTCATGGAATGGGTTTCCATGGCCGAGCAGCTGCATCCAAGCCTTCCATCACCAAGTGCAATGCAAAGCGTCGGATGCCGTGGTGTAAAGCAGCATGCCGCCACTGGACTCTAGAGGAGAGGAACATGTGTTCTCTGGAGTGACCAATCACACTTCTCTATCTGGCAATCCAATGGACGTGTCTGGTTTGGCGGTTGGCAGGAGAACAGTACTTACCTGACTGCATTGTGCTAAGTGTAAAGTTTGGTGGAGGGGGGATTATGGTGTAGGGGTTGTTCCTCCGGGGTTGGGGCTTGGCCCCCTAGTTCCAGTGAAGGGACGACATTTTGGAAAATTTCATGCTCCCAACTTGTGGGAAGAGTTTGGGGATGGCCCCTTCCTGTCCCAACATGACTGCACAGCAGTGCACAAAGCAAGGTCCATAAAGACATGGAGGAGCCAGTTTGGGGTGGAGGAACTTGACTGTCCTGCACAGAGTCCTGACCTCAACCCCATAGAACACCTTTGGGATGAATTAGAGCGGAGACTGTGAGCCAGGCCTCCTCCCCCGACATCAGTGCCTGACCTGACACAATGTGCTTCTGGAAGAATGGTCCAACCTTCCCATAGACACCCTCCTAAACCTTCCCAGAAGAGTTGAAGCTGTTATAGCTGCAAAGGGTGGGGCCAACTCAATATTGAACCCTACGGACTGAGACTGGGGGGCCATTAAAGGTCATGTGCGTGGAAAGGGCGGGGCCAACTCAATATTGAACCCTACGGACTAAGACTGGGGGGCCATTAAAAGGTCATGTGCGTGGAAAGTCCAGTGGCCCGATACTTGGGGCAATATAGTTTATCTTGAGTAGCACATCAATTACGGTCAATGAGGTCATGCTCATGCTATGTAAACATGTATGCAGAAAGCCTGGTGAGGTTTTTTTTTTTTTCCCGGTGTCATAAAACATTTGCCGGATGGGAGTCCCCTCGTTTCCCAGCTGTTAAATTTAGAACAAGTTTCCATTTTTTCAAAGTGTTAAAAATAACTGTGCAGAGCCACCAGCACTAGAGACCATCTGAGAAGGACCCGTTCTTCAAGACCCCGTCACCCTTATTCATGGCAAAGTGACCAGTTCTGTGCAAAGAACCCCTCGGCTATTTTAGTATCCCGTCTCCATCGGGCCCTCGCCGATCCTTCCTCTGTGGTTTTCCCTCAAAAAAAAAAAAAAATGATATATTGAACATGTCGCATGGGTGAAATGCAACACGTAGGGGCAGAGCTGGGTGACGTCATTGCGCACCTCGACTGGAAGTTGGGGTGGAAACCTGATTCCTGTACTGTGAGATACGCAAACTTGGTTTTTTATTCACACGAGTGCTTACTCAATACATTCCATAGATTCCCATACAGTCCCTGAGTTACAAACATCCGACTCGTACTGAGGCAGCGGACACCACACTGGTCATGGAAAACTGCCGGGTGGCCATCCTGCTGCTCACCACATGCTGCCACCTACTGTCCGGCGGATCAGTCCGCATTTCCACATCACTGCATGGTCACTTAACCCTTCCCAATGCTATCCAAAACCTAAGCTGTGCTTCTGCTTACCTGACAAGAGCCATCAAAAAGGGCCATCAAAAAGGACCAATCAAAAGTTTGGCCACCATCTGCATCTCCTGTAGGGTCATCTTTAGGTTCTACTTGACACTACCCAAGTGATCAAAACGGACCATAAAAAGGACCATCAAAAAGGACCATCAAAACGTTTGGCCGCCATCTGCATCTCCTGTAGGGTCATCTTTAGTCTCTACTTGACACTACCCAAGTGATCAAAACGGACCATCAAAAGGGCCATCAAAAAGGGCCATCAAAAAGGGCCATCAAAAAGGGCCATCAAAAAGGGCCATCAAAAAGGGCCATCAAAAAGGGCCATCAAAAAGGGCCATCAAAAGTTTGGCCGCCATCTGCATCTCCTGTAGGGTCATCTTTAGGCTCTACTTGAAACTACCCAAGTGATCAAAACGGACCATCAAAAGGGCCTTCAAAAAGGGCCTTCAAAAAGGACCATCAAAAAGGACCATCAAAAGTTTGGCGACCATCTGCATCTCCTGTAGGGTCATCTTTAGGTTCTACTTGACACTATCAATCCTCCACCATCTGATAAGGCCTTGTATCACTTCTAAAACATCCACCCCGAGTGTCTCAGCCCCACACACATCCCATCAAAAAGGGCCATCAAAAAGGGCCATCAAAAAGGGCCATCAAAAAGGACCATCAAACGTTTGGCCACCATCTGCATCTCCTGTACTGTCATCTTTAGGCTCTACTTGACACTATCAATCCTCCACCATCTGATAAGGCCTTGTATCACTTCTAAAACATCCACCCCCGAGTGTCTCAGCCCCACACACATCCCATCAAAAAGGACTATCAAAAAGGGCCATCAAAAAAAGGACCATCAAAAGTTTGGCCACCATCTGCATCTCCTGTATGGTCATTTTTAGGTTCTACTTGACACTATCAATCCTGCACTTCTGATCTGATAAGGCCTTGTATCACTTCTAAACAGGGGCGGACTGACAACTCATGGGGCCCCCCGAATAATAGGGGATCATGGGGCCCCTGTGTCCTTGCCCAAACTCAAAAAAGCCTATGGAAAAAAGGTACCAGGGGCATCTCATGGGGCCCCCTACTGACCCCGGGCCCTCGAGCAGTGCTTGAATGGTCAAATGGTCAGTCCACCCCTGCTTCTAAAACATCTACCCCGAGTGTCACAGCCCCCCACACACATCCTATCAAAACGGGCCATCAAAATGGGCCATAAAAAGGGCCATCAAAAAGGGCCATCAATAGTTTGGCCACCATTTGCATCTCCTGTAGGGTCATCTTTAGGTTCTACTTGACACTATCAATCCTCCACCATCTGATAAGGCCTTGTATCACTTCTAAAACATCCACCCCGAGTGTCTCAGCCCCACACACATCCCATCAAAAAGGGCCATCAAAGGTTTGGCCACCATCTGCATCTCCTGTAGGGTCATCTCTAGGTTCTACTTGACGCTATCAATCCTCCATCATCTGATAAGGCCTTGTATTACTTCTAAAACATCCACCCCGAGTGTCTCGGCCCCACACACTCTTTCAGCTGGTCATTGGAATTCAAAGAATCCCACGCTGTAATATTTAACAGAATCCTTAGAAGAAAAAGGTGTCAAACACTCTTCCTTTATACATGTCTACAAAGCATCTGCTGTGGCTTAGGCCGTATTTTTTTCAGGATGCGCAAAATAATACCAAGTAAAAAATATCCAGCTGAAGGTCGCAATGCTAACTAGACAATCTTGACCTTTGACAGTCAATAAGCAATGTTGAAGTTGATACAATACTCTCCACAAGATGGAACCTGGGTAAGTTCTGGTGCTTTCCTCGTTGGTAATACCCACATTGATGTACCACAAACATGCCAAAAATTAAACGTTTCATAAGGGTTCAACCCATAAAACCGAAGCTCAACAAATATAAAAATACCTAAAATCACAAATGAAATGAATACACTATGGGGGTCCATTTATAAATGTTTTCATCCAAGAGCCACACAGTTGAATACAAATTTTGAACCTTGGGTAAAAAAAAGAAACCGATCCCCAGGCGGACGCATGACCATCACACCTACATATCCCGAACCAAAAATTCCAAAAACCAAGAGCATTAATATAGATTTGCCCCCCCGTGCCCATTAATATGGAGTTGCCCCTCCCCCCCCCCCCCCCCCATGGCCATTAGTATGGAGTTCTTTCTATAACATCCTCCGCTCTTCTGAGGAGACTTTCCACGAGTATTTTTATGAGGTCATGTATGGAGGTTGGATGAAAAGGGGCACCAAAAAAAAAAAAAAAAAGTCCACCCTCTTTCAGCATTCCAATGTAGGAGTAGGACGGGGTCGGGTAGAGCAGCGTAGGAGTCGGACGGGGTCGGGTAGAGCAGAGTAGGAGTCGGACCGGACCGGGTAGAGTAGGGAGTCGGACCGGGTAGAGTAGGAGTCGGACCGGGTAGAGTAGGAGTCGGACCGGGTAGAGTAGGAGTCGGACCGGGTAGAGTAGAGTAGGAATCCGACCGGGTCGGGTAGAGTAGGAATCCGACCGGGTCGGGTAGAGTAGGAATCCGACCGGGTCGGGTAGAGTAGGAGTCGGACCGGGGGTTCGCGTAGAGTAGGAGTCGGACCGGGTAGAGTAGGAGTCGGACCGGGTCGCGTAGAGTAGGAGTCGGACCGGGTCGGGCAGAGTAGGAGTCGACCGGGTCGGGCAGAGTAGGAGTCCGACCGGGTCGGGCAGAGTAGGAGTCCGACGGGTCGGGCAGAGTAGGAGTCCGACCGGGTCGGGCAGCAGAGTAGGAGTCCGACCGGGTCGGGCAGAGTAGGAGTCCGACCGGGTCGGGCAGAGTAGGAGTCCGACCGGGTCGGGGAGCAGAGTAGGAGTCCGACCGGGTCGGGTAGAGCAGAGTAGGAGTCCGACCGGGTCGGGCAGAGTAGGAGTCCGACCGGGTCGGGCAGAGTAGGAGTCCGACGGACCGGGTCGGGCAGAGTAGGAGTCCGACCGGGTCGGGCAGAGTAGGAGTCCGACCGGGTCGGGCAGAGTAGGAGTCCGACCGGGTCGGGTAGAGCAGAGTAGGAGTCCGACCGGGTCGGGCAGAGTAGTAGGAGTCCGACCGGTCGGGTCGGGCAGAGTAGGAGTCCGACCGGGTCGGGCAGAGTAGGAGTCCGACCGGGTCGGGTAGCAGAGTAGGAGTCCGACCGGGTCGGGCAGAGTAGGAGTCCGACCGGGTCGGGCAGAGTAGGAGTCCGACCGGGTCGGGCAGAGTAGGAGTCCGACCGGGTCGGGCAGAGTAGGAGTCCGACCGGGTCGGGCAGAGTAGGAGTCCGACCGGGTCGGGCAGAGTAGGGAGTCCGACCGGGTCGGGCAGAGTAGGAGTCCGACCGGGTCGGGTCGGAGAGTAGGAGTCCGACCGGGTCGGGCAGAGCAGGACCGGGGCAGCAGTAGGAGTCCGACCGGGTCGGGCAGAGTAGGAGTCCGACCGGGTCGGGCAGAGTAGGAGTCCGACCGGGTCGGGCAGAGTAGGAGTCCGACCGGGTCGGGCAGAGTAGGAGTCCGACCGGGTCGGGCAGAGTAGGAGTCCGACCGGGTCGGGCAGAGCAGAGTAGGAGTCCGACCGGGTCGGGCAGAGTAGGAGTCGGACGACCGGGTCGGGCAGAGTAGGAGTCCGACCGGGTCGGGCAGAGTAGGAGTCCGACCGGGTCGGGCAGAGTAGGAGTCCGGGTCCGGGTCGGGCAGAGTAGGAGTCCGACCGGGTCGGGCAGAGTAGGAGTCCGACCGGGTCGGGCAGAGTAGGAGTCCGACCGGGTCGGTCGGGCAGAGTAGGAGTCCGACCGGGTCGGGCAGAGTAGGAGTCCGACCGGGTCGGGCAGAGTAGGAGTCCGACCGGGTCGGGCAGAGTAGGAGTCCGACCGGGTCGGGCAGAGTAGGAGTCCGACCGGGTCGGGCAGAGTAGGAGTCCGACCGGGTCGGGCAGAGTAGGAGTCCGACCGGGTCGGGCAGAGTAGGAGTCCGACCGGGTCGGGCAGAGTAGGAGTCCGACCGGGTCGGGTAGAGTAGGAGTCCGACCGGGTCGGGTAGAGTAGGAGTCCGACCGGGTCGGGTAGAGTAGGAGTCCGACCGGTCGGGTAGAGTAGGAGTCCGACCGGGTCGGGTAGAGTAGGAGTCCGACCGGGTCGGGTAGAGTAGGAGTCCGACCGGGTCGGGTAGAGTAAGAGTCGGGTAGAGTAGACGACCGGGTCGGGTAGAGTAGGAGTCCGACCGGGTCGGGTAGAGTAGGAGTCCGACCGGGTCGGGTAGAGTAGAGTAGGAGTCCGACCGGGTCGGGTAGAGTAGAGTAGGAGTCCGACCGGGTCGGGTAGAGTAGAGTAGGAGTCCGACCGGGTCGGGTAGAGTAGAGTAGGAGTCCGACCGGGTCGGGTAGAGTAGAGTAGGAGTCCGACCGGGTCGGGTAGAGTAGAGTAGGAGTCCGACCGGGTCGGGTAGAGTAGAGTAGGAGTCCGACCGGGTCGGGTAGAGTAGAGTAGGAGTCCGACCGGGTCGGGTAGAGTAGAGTAGGAGTCCGACCGGATCGGGTAGAGTAGAGTAGGAGTCCGACCGGGTCGGGTAGAGTAGAGTAGGAGTCCGACCGGGTCGGGTAGAGTAGAGTAGGAGTCCGACCGGGTCGGGTAGAGTAGGAGTCCGACCGGGTCGGGTAGAGTAGGAGTCCGACCGGGTCGGGTAGAGTAGGAGTCCGACCGGGTCGGGTAGAGTAGGAGTCCGACCGGGTCGGGTAGAGTAGGAGTCCGACCGGGTCGGGTAGAGTAGGAGTCCGACCGGGTCGGGTAGAGTAGGAGTCCGACCGGGTCGAGTAGAGTAGGAGTCCGACCGGGTCGGGTAGAGTAGGAGTCCGACCGGGTCGGGTAGAGTAGGAGTCCGACCGGGTCGGGTAGAGTAGGAGTCCGACCGGGTCGGGTAGAGTAGGAGTCCGACCGGGTCGGGTAGAGTAGTAGGAGTCCGACCGGGTCGGGTAGAGTAGAGTAGGAGTCCGACCGGGTCGGGTAGAGTAGAGTAGGAGTCCGACCGGGTCGGGTAGAGTAGAGTAGGAGTCCGACCGGATCGGGTAGAGTAGAGTAGGAGTCCGACCGGATCGGGTAGAGTAGAGTAGGAGTCCGACCGGATCGGGTAGAGTAGAGTAGGAGTCCGACCGGATCGGGTAGAGTAGAGTAGGAGTCCGACCGGGTCGGGTAGAGTAGAGTAGGAGTCCGACCGGGTCGAGTAGAGTAGGAGTCCGACCGGGTCGAGTAGAGTAGGAGTCCGACCGGGTCGAGTAGAGTAGGAGTCCGACCGGGTCGGGTAGAGTAGGAGTCCGACCGGGTCGGGTAGAGTAGGAGTCCGACCGGGTCGGGTAGAGTAGGAGTCCGACCGGGTCGGGTAGAGTAGGAGTCCGACCGGGTCGGGTAGAGTAGGAGTCCGACCGGTCGGGTAGAGTAGGAGTCCGACCGGGTCGGGTAGAGTAGGAGTCCGACCGGGTCGGGTAGAGTAGGAGTCCGACCGGGTCGGGTAGAGTAGGAGTCCGACCGGGTCGGGTAGAGTAGGAGTCCGACCGGGTCGGGTAGAGTAGGAGTCCAACCAAGTTGGGTAGAGTAGGAGTCCGACCGGGTCGGGTAGAGTAGAGTAGGAGTCCGACCGGGTCGGGTAGAGTAGAGTAGGAGTCCAACCGGGTCGGGTAGAGTAGAGTAGGAGTCCAACCGGGTCGGGTAGAGTAGAGTAGGAGTCCAACCGGGTCGGGTAGAGTAGAGTAGGAGTCCAACCGGGTCGGGTAGAGTAGAGTAGGAGTCCAACCGGGTCGGGTAGAGTAGAGTAGGAGTCCAACCGGGTCGGGTAGAGTAGAGTAGGAGTCCAACCGGGTCGGGTAGAGTAGAGTAGGAGTCCAACCGGGTCGGGTAGAGTAGAGTAGGAGTCCAACCGGGTCGGGTAGAGTAGAGTAGGAGTCCAACCGGTCGGGTAGAGTAGAGTAGGAGTCCAACCGGGTCGGGTAGAGTTGGACTCCGGAAGGTGTTCAAGGGTTGAGGTCAGGGCTCTGTGCAGGAAATTTGAGTTCCTCCACCCATCACTTAGTTCCTGGACATCTTGTTCCAAAACCGTGACCATTAATATGCAGTTGCCCCCCTTGGTGTCTACAACAGCTTCCACTCTTCTAGGAAGGCTTTCCACAAGATTTTTTTTTTGGGGGGGGGCGGGGGTTCTGTGGAATTTGTGCCCATCTGTGAGGTCAGATACAGGGGCGGACTGACAACTCATGGGGCCCCCGGGCAATAGGGGATCATGGTGCCCGTGTCTTTGCCCAAACTCAAAAAAGCCTATGAAAAAGGTACCAGGAGCATCTAATGGGGCCCCCTACTGACCCCGGGCCCTCGGGCAGTGCCCGAGTTATCAAATGGTCAGTTCGCCCCTGGTCAGATACTGATGCTGGATGAGAAGACCTCGCTCACATGTTGGGCCCCATGATGAGCACCAAATAAAAGCCCTGGCTCACCACCAGCATTCAAACTCATCCCAATGGTGTCCAGTAGGGTTGAGGTCAGGGCTCTGTAAAGATCACTCCAGTTCCTCCACACCAGACTGGTCACACCGTGTCTTTATGGAGCTGGAATTGTACACAGGGGGCCCAGTCATGGGGGAACAGGAAAGGGTCTTCACCAAACTGTTACCATAAGGTTGGAAGAGCACAATTGCCTGTGATTGGACAGTTGACAAAAAGCAGAAGCTTGTTCCTGGTCAGTACAAGGACGTCTACCATACAGGGAATAGCAAGAGGCAAATATTTACCCTACACGTTCTCTAGGTCGCGGCCAAATGCCATTTTGGTACAGCAGGCCACATAGGACCATCTATGGTGACATCAGTACTACTTCACAAAACTTCAAACCAACCTGCACGGCCTAGTTAAGGAAGCCCCGACTCCAGAATCTCTCCGTTCCCTCATTTCCGTCTCTTCCGTGTCATTCAAGGAATTGCCCGTGCTGTCAAAGTCGCTGGCCGAAGTGCCAACGTCAGATATGGATCGTTCCTCATAAGCGAGATGACCAGCTTGTTCCCCTCCCGAATCAGTCTCCTCCTCTTCGTCAAGGTCAGGGCA